ACAGCTTCGGTCAACAAATCACAAACGTCGCCCAATCCCACCAGCTAGGCCAAGTGTTCAACATTGGTCGGACCGTGGTCACTTACTTGTTCACTGCCAGTTCTGGGAGCCAGGGTGTTTGCCAATTTACAGTAACCGTCAATGGTAAGAACAGTTACTTAGACCTTTAGTAAGCATTAAAGGATAGTAGCAGATTCCTGTGCCTTTTTATTTTATGTCTGTCTCCCCGATCCCTGTTTTGGTTAAGATGCATAATACACCTGCCTGTTTTCGCGTCATCCATCATGTAACCATATTGAAGTTGTAAATTTGCATATTGGGCCCTGGTTTGGGTCAAGTTCATTCCCGACAAGTATGAAGTCACTGTATGCTGTGTCCATTGTTTTGCAAGTAGCATGCCAAAGAAATTGAGTAGAGTTCTTAGTGAAATGTGATTGGCTGAGGGCTCTTGTTGTTAGTGGGTCCTCTCTTTGTGTGAAGCATATACCAAAGGTTCTTTTTCTCGTGAAAATAACAATAGATGCTACCCCACAAACCAACCTGTTACTTATTAGGTTTTGTTGTCTCGACTATATCTCTGTTCTGAACCTTTGTTGAATTCTCACGACAACACCTTAATTGATAGCCATTTCAACTGTTTCAGCTGGCCTTCCTATTGACAATACCCCTCCCACTTTCGTTGTTGGGTGTCCATCTGAGGTGACCGTCAGTGCGCCCAGTGGATCAACAACCTTTGTTGTCAACTGGGACCCGCCTGTAGCCACCGACAACTCAGGCACAGTCGATACATTTGCATCGCACAATCCCGGCTCGACGTTCTTTGTGGGCGTCCCGACGACTGTCACGTACAGGTTCACGGACCCATCAGGCAATTCTCTGACCTGCAGTTTCACGGTCCTTGTCAATGGTATGTGGCCAGGGTCTCTGGCTTATAAGCCAGGAGTAAAATTAGATTGACACAGAAGGAACAACATTTTACCCACCCAAAGATATCTTTGTTTTGGGACACGTCAAATTTCCATTTGTTGAAAATGGATAGTCAGGCATACGTTCTCACACCCAAAACATCTCTGGCTCTTCCATTAGTAGTCAGACAGGTCTTATAAAATCTGTTCCACATTGCTGTGAATGAAAACCTCCAAAAATGCAGATTAGTGGTTAATTTGACCACCTGGGCAGTCTGAGAAATCTTGTGTTTGACCCCGAAGTCCTTTTTTTCTCTGGTACATTTCAGCAGATGTTCCAAATAACAGCTGTCAGATCTTGTTGTAGTGTTTTGTAACGGGCATCTTGCCTTCACCTCACTTGGGACTGTTAAGTATTCATAATGCAGTGGTTTGCCAGTTGCAATGTATGAGACCCTCTGTCAATTGGCTTATGATTTAGACATAATGCCAATGCACTAATTCACTTCGAGTTAAACTTTGCTGGTGCTTCGATAAGTAGTGTCCTAGAGAATCAAAAAATGAGTATAAAGGAATTAAGGCCGGCGGGATGAAGTGCTGAAGGTATTTCACAAATTATACACGTACCTGCAACTTTGGAGAATTGTTATGTCTTTCATTTTGTGCACACAGTGGGTACCGTTGACAACACGCCACCAACTATCACTGGCTGTCCAAGTGGCGTCAGTGTCATGACGGCTCCTGGCGCAACAACAGCGACGGCCAGCTGGCAACCACCAGTCGGCCAGGACAATTCGGGCGTAGCACCACAAGTCTTCAATTCACACTCTCCGGGGGACACTTTCGGAGTAGGCAACACGCAAGTCTTTTATCGCTTTGTGGACGGGTCGGGCAATGAGGCAACGTGTTTGTTCCTCGTGACTGTCAGCAGTAAGCATTTATGTCAATTGAAGCTTTCTTAGACTGTTTGAGCAATGGCAGTCATGCCTGACAACAATTGTTAAAATGGTAGCCCATGTTCTGGCCCAATTTTTCTTTTGTGTGAGTGATACTTTCCTTCCTTAAACCTTGAAAAAAAAATTTTTAGACAAAAATAGTGAAGCCCTGAGAAAGACACTAGTGAATTTGATTGATGGAACATACACGTAATAAGTGTGACTTGAATACTTCCAAAAGGGTGGGGGGCAACGAGGGCTTGGGCCCCTCACGACAAAGGAGTACCATTTTTTTTCTTTTGAAATGGAGGGCAAGAAAGGTGATTTTTGGTGTCTCATTCCTTTTCCTGTCTTTCCCAAAGTATGTATAAAGCATGACACTGTAGCCTCTACCCTCAGAAAGGCCATGAAAAGTTACATAAGAAGATTTCGAAAATTTTACTCCTTCCCCAAAAATTGGGGGGGGGAGGGACCACCCTAATTTAACTTTGGTTCAGGATCTGCCCTGGAATACTCCAGTGTTTGGAAGAGGAGCAGCTAACAATATGGAGTGCTGTGAAAGTTTGCCTCAAATAGCGTCCATCATGCATATATTAGGCCTATCTTGCAGTTAACAATCCATTCTCCATTGCCTCTTTGAGGCACCATACAAACACAAATGCATCAAGAGGACTCAGAAATCAAACTCATCATTACTTATCTACTAAATTCCCTCTCAGTTCAATGGTAGTCGGAAGAAAAGGGTAAAACAAAATTGCTGAGTGATGACTCCTGCTGCAAGGGAAGGCCATTTGGCACACTGGTGTCAAACTTGTGTACTGTAAAGTGTAAAACAAAGTCCGGGGAGTGCTTTGTGCTGTGCACTAGAAAACAGTATTCTTTAATATTTCTGAGCATCTGGCAACGATCAGCCACTCACTTCAACTTTATGCTGTGGTCGGTCTGTGATTAATGGTTGCCGGGTAGCGTGTGTGTTCCCTGTCTGCTATTCTGACCAGTGGCGTAGCTAGGATTTTACTTGTTGGGGGGGGCACAAAGGGGCACCATCATCTTATGGGGGGCACCAGCTTTCAGTGGTGTGGTTTTTTGGGGGCAAGTTTTTGTTACCCTTGTTCCATATCCATTCATCCATGCCCCCGGCTCCCTCATGGCTACGCTACTGACTCTGACAAAAGAGTGAATGCATCTTTCTTTCAGCAAGTGGTGGTGTCGACACCATCAATCCTGTTTTGACGGGCTGCCCCACCGGCGTCACTGCATACGTATCTGCAGCTGTCACCAGCGTCCGAGTCACCTGGACGGAGCCCACGGCCACAGACAACTCTGGGGTGGTGCCGATGTTGGCTAGCAACCCATCGGTCAATTCCATCTTCCCGCTGGGACTTACCACGGTGACATACACTGCTACTGACGGGGCAGGCAACCGGGCGACCTGTGCATTTGTGGTCAACGTCATAGGTGAGGTCACAGCCCCCAGAAATCCCAGCATAAGGAGTGAAGAGGATTACACAGATGCACAGACCATCTCACTGAAGGGCTTTTGTTGGCATTTTGAATCATGTGTCCAGACAAGGCACTGGTATCGTACCCATGGACGTTGCCAGAATTTTGTTAAGGGAGGGGAAAAGAGTTTTTCCCGGGAAGAGGTGGGGTAAAGCACACATCATTACCAAACGATTAATTGTGGAAGGGAGTAAATTCTGAGGTGGTTTCAAGCAAATGAGCCATATTCATCCAGGGTTTCCACTGCCTGGAAAAGTCATGGAAATTTGTTCTCATTTTTCCAGGCCTGGAAAAGTCATAGAATATTGTAAAAATGACTAAAGTCATGGCAGAGTCATGGAATTTTTCAAACACTGTGTTTGATTTTTGTTATGAGAAATAAGTGCATGAAATGCGTGATTTTATTCGCAACTTTGAAAGTCCAAATAGTCCAAGAAATTGTGTTATTGGGTTGTGGATTTTCATAATTTGGTCATAGAAAAGTCATGGAATTTTATTGTCCTTTACGGGCAGGAACTCTGTCATCCCCTTGCCTCACTTTTTCTGTAAGTTTTGTTTTATTTTATTTCCATTTTTTGTTTTTCAATTTTTTTCACCAAGAGGCCAAGTGCCCCCCTTTTAGCCTCCCCATTGCAGCATCCCTGATCCGACCTGTTTGCAGGTAGAAAAATAAGACCAGTTTTACGCACAAAACAGGCACTGAATTTTGAATGGGTTTACACTAATACTAATAAGCTACAAATATCCTGTCCTTTGCATAATTTTACCCATGTCTGTCCTGTTAGATTTGGTTCAGAACGAGTAATGATGTATCAGAAACTTCTACAGGAAACCGCTTAACAAAAGATGTTCCTTTTTGCAATTTGATTTATCTTCATCAGTTGATTTAACGGCACCTGTCATCTCCGGCTGCCCTATCAGTGCCGTCCGAGGAACCCTGTCTGCTGGACAAGCGACCACCTCGCTGACTTGGACTGAGCCCACAGCTACAGACAACAGCCAGCTCCCGGTCACCAGGAACCGCACGCACGTTCCGGGGCAAGCCTTTCCCATTGGAACCACTAATGTCATCTACACTTTCAGCGACAGCGTCAACAACGAGGCCATCTGCACCTTCATGGTCATCGTCTCATGTAAAGAACTGGGACCCTGTTTTTTAATAAGGGGTCATCCATTTTTGTCATCATTTTCACAAGCGTATAAAATGACGATTTCTCTGTTTTGTCTGAGGACCCATTCTAACTCACAATGTATGGTTGTTAATGCGCAGTAGACGACCAGAGAATAGTGGAAGGGGGAAAAGCAATGTCCACAACAGGCCTCGACATTCGCGGTTTTCCGATTGCCCAGGACAAATTCTTCTTTCAGTTCGGGCAAGTAATAATTAAGGACAAATTGCCTGATGAACAGGTACTTTTTTCTTAAAATAAAGGTGTCCTTATTTGTGTCCAAGAATAGCAGTCAGAAAATGTACCTTTGATTTGATTTGTTCTCCTCTTCACAAAAGCTTATAAAAAGTGGTAAAAAGTACACAGTTACATGATCTTTTGCATCGTTACATGTACAGTGTACATGTACAAATTTGCGTGTATTAATGCACGCTGTGCTTTTAGCAGGGCACCTTTCCACACAAGGGAAAATGCGGGCATAGATAAACTGTAAAATACACTTATGTCTGGGTACCAAACCTCGTCACATGTGGCTCTGACTTAAACGTTAGTGAATTTTGCCTGGTACTTGTATATGTACTTTTTATATATGACACCAGGCAAAATGGTCGAGTGGTAAGAAATAGCCGTTGCCCGAACTTGTATGAATGATGCATGAGAGTCCTGTTCACTCTCTGCACACACGCAATATAAGTTGGGGGTGATAGGTAGCCAGTCTAGCTATGATAATCGTCATTTTTAACATGTTTCTAAAAGCATATGCAACCAATTCAACCCTTCCCCCCAGTATACGCTTTGTACTCTCGTGAAAATGATGACAAAAATGGATGACCCCTAAGGGTCTAAGCCCAGAGATCTGATAAGAACAGAAAATAAACTCAGTCACTAGCCAAAATATCACAGGGTAGGGAGGTATTCCAGCTGAGTACTATTGCACAGCATTTTAACAAATTGGCAGTTGTTGCTAAGTAACTTCTAGTGTTGGGAATGCAACCCTCTGGCCCCTGTCTGGTTCAGATTCTAGTGCTGCTAGAACTTCTTTGTTTAAGGAAGGCCTGCAATTGCAAGCCTGCAAATAGTGGCTTAGAGGGTTCAAATGTGGACATCACCAAGTGTGATGTTTACCCGTAAAAATAAATATCGAAAAAATTATTAAAATATCAACATAGATAGCAACTCACCAATTGAGCATACTGTGAAGTGTATATGAAGGCTAAAAAAGGTGTCGAACAAAATGAACTGGCTTGGTCAATTTTATTCTACCATTGCACACGTTGGACACGATGCCAGTGTCACCTAAACACACACTGTCACGGCAACTGGACTTTGCTTTTGGACTTACATCTTTTACGTTTCCTTCAGATGTTTTGTCCAACAAGATCTGCTCTTGGTCAGACAGCTACCAAAAATTCGGGAAATGGCTGTTTGGTAATTTCACTCTGTGCTTTGTGTTTGTCATTTCCTATCAGCATCCACCCCCAGCAACCCGTGTTCAAGTAACCCCTGCCCATCTGGTCAGCTTTGCTTCTACACAGCCGATGCTTACCTGTGCCGACCAGGTGAGAAATGTTGCTGGGGTAGCCACAATCTTAAGCTCCTTGTTATGTAGCCAAAAATGTCAGCGAAGCTAACTATAATACTTCTGAATGATATATTAAAACAATGGAAAATGTAGTGTTGCCCTTTTCATTATTGGAAAATATTAAAGAGTGGATTGAACTGAATGATGACCAACTAGCTGACCAACCTCGGGAACTAGTTGGTCAACTTCCAATGTCCTAGGGAGGTACCACTAGCTATTCATCCTCAAATCTGGTTCAATTTCCATGACCATGTTTTATACGCTTTGTTGATGGTTGCATCTTGTTAATTGCTTCTCTGAGACCTGGATCACATAATGGTTCCAATATAGGCTGTTCTCCATGTTGGCATATTAAAAAAAACGAACACATCACCAAGTTTATTGAGCACTTGCCTATTTCTCCTACAGATGCTTCATGAGATTTTCTTTGTGGCTTTATCTGTCTTTGTTTCTCAGGTGCAGGACGTAAACGGAGAGATGCGCTCCCTGATGATAATAGATGTGAGTACACTCAGATGCATTCATTGTGATTAGTAATGTGTCTACCAGTGTCAAGTGGAAAGTAGCATGTCCTCTGCATTCTAGGCCAAGTCTGATCAGCAGATTTTTGACAAACATCGCTCTAGTTTGCTTGCCTCGCGGGATGGAATTTTATCCATGGGTTACCAAGCAAATTAACTGAGTTGACCCAAACGAAGGTAAAGTCCAACCACAGTTAACCGTAGTGTATGCCCATAGTTGCTGCAAGCCTAACGCTTCTTGTGGCATGCTGTTCTTTTTGACAGACTGTCCGTGTGAGAATGGCGGGGAATGTGTCCATGTTGAAAGTGAGCCGCCAGCCTCTTACTGTATCTGCCCCATGGGATTCCGAGGAGTGCTGTGTGAGAAGGGTAAGATAACTTTCTCAAGTAACAAAGCGTTACCTACGTGCCTCTTTTGTCAGTGCCTCTTTTGAGTGAACACACCTTCAAAAGAATCGTGCACAATGGACACTACCATGAACTCTCAACATGATTCATCCAGATAATGTCCATTTTTCTTCAGGATGCCAAAACAAGTGGCGCGTCAAAACAAGGAGTTGAGTTTGCTCATTCTCATGCAAACTATAAACAATGTTAATTAATTATTTAAATGGCTGTAAGATTCAGTTTGTGGGATCCAATCATATTTTATTGTCATCTCTGCTTTGCAGGAAGGTTACATTTTGATGTTAACGAACTGGTGATTCTGGGTTTTGGAGATCCACTCACATGATAATCATGAACAACTTGGATTTGAATTTTATTTGTCATCAACTTGTATGACAACTAACTGATCCCAAATGTTCACTCTCTGAAATTACCTGGTGACATTTACTTAATGGTTACATTACGGTTGTTAGCTTCTGATCATAGGGTCAAGAGGTGTGAATCCTAGCTGGTATTTACATATTGAGACCATGGGCAAGGCACCTCACCCCTATGTGTCTCTCTCCACCCAGGAGTAAGTGGGTACCTGTGAGAGCAGGGCCCAATTTCGTGGCAAGCGAAATATCGGCACTTACCTTAGCAGAAAAATCTGTGCTTACGGCGAATGCATTTCACGGGTTAGAGAGGAATTTTGGCTTGTGCACATGCGTACATTCTGTAACTAAGGATTCTGTACTGAAGAGGTTAGTGCAGAATTTTCTGCTAGCGGGGTTTAACACCGAATGGAGATTGTAAGCGTGGAATTCTGCAGTAAGCAGTGCCATGAAATTTGGCCCAGATGTGATCACTGTGTTTTACCCGTCATGCCTGAAATAGCAGCATCGCGCTGCAATACTCCCAGGGAGCTGAGGTCTCAAGAATATTGAATGTTGTGAGCCCAGTAAGCAGGGATAATGATAATGCATGGACACCTTTGCATAGCAGATACTGTTGGATAGCTTGCATCGTTACACACATTGTGATATTATCAATACCTTTACAGATTATGGGAAATGCATACAACAGAATTAGATGATTCTTGCTCTTTAAAATTGTAGTAAAAATAAGGATTCATGTCTCCCCCCAAAGAAAAATGATCAAAACTGTTTCACGTAATTAATATGCAGGTTGTTAATCTGTCACTAAATCCATTCATGCTGCCATACCTTGCCAGGACAGCGTCTTTGTCTGTTGGACTGTCTGTCTGTCCTTGCAAATGAAACACATCTAATTAATCTTTGGCCCTACAGGATTATTTATAAATCACCTTTGAAACAAAATTAAATACCACAATATATTCGGCCCCCTTAGAGTAGAGTAGGTTATGACGTGATGGGCTTCTGGAGTCTAGGTCATCCAGAATTCAGCTTTGGTTCTGAGATTGTAAGAAATCCACCAATCCAGAACTTTTAAAGCCCTGTCAAGATAAGAACGCTCTGATCTATAATTGGTCCACTGAGTGGCCAGGAATAGCTTTATTGCCATGGAATTCCCACATCTTGAACTGGAATGCCATGTAGGACCACTAACTAGGGTATCAATGATAACTAGACGTCTTCTTCCTCTCCCCCCCCCATGGGATAGCTGTCATCAATGAGTGCAACCCCAACCCTTGCGCTAACAATGGGACCTGTACTGTGACCATTGGCAGTGACCCCTCGGCCAGTTACCACTACTCCTGCCTGTGCTCTGAGGGTTGGACTGGTCCAAACTGTCTAAATGGTAAGGTGGAAATTTTCCCATCAGGGCCATTGCAGATATCAAGTGCAAAGAGAACCACAGTTGAAATAAGTTCACCAATTCAGTTCAATCAGGCTCAATTAAGTGACTTGCCAGTAAATATTATTTAATTTGACTGCGTCACAAAAACTAACAATAGGGGTAGAAAGGTTTCAGCAAGTTTCATCACCTAGAACAATCTATTCCCTGCAGGGGTTGTTTGATGAGTAATGTACTCCGGACAGAATTGATAAATTTAGTTTTGAAGTTGATGAGTGAAGGTTTTTTTTGGCATAAGTTCCAACTAACTTTTAAAAAATGCCCTTCTGCCTATGTAGGAAGATTTCAAAAGAAACAACCAATTTGTTTTGATCATTGAAGTGACAAAATTTTGCCTTCAACTGATAAACCCTCTGTGATCCGTGTTTTTCACAAATTTGTAAGGAAAACATGACCAGCTTGTCTGTTTAGAACTGGAACCCCAAAGCATCTGCATTTAAAAGCAGTCATCTTAAGAACTCATCCATTTATAGCCTGGTCCTTGTTATAAGCACAAATATAATGGGAGGGAGTGGGTGGATTGCCATGTATGTAAACATATTTTTAAATGATGATAGTACCAGTACAAAAACATCAGTTGTCTTTTGCACACTCTAGGATTGAGGGAGGGGTTTAGAGTAGAAGAGTTCTCTTTGAGCGCTGGTGAAAACGACAAAATTTGACAGCCAAGCTAGAAACAACAGCCAACCACATTTATTGGTTTCTGCGGCAGTCCAGCACAACTTTAAATGACTTGCCCATGTTGTTTTTGTGTTCCATTCTCATTCAGCCGTCAATGACGAGCTTGTGATCCACACCGGTGACCTGACAGACCTCACGGACCACCGCCGTGGCTTGATGGAGACTGAGTGGCTCCTGGGCAGCCTGATCGCAGTCATCATCATCCTCTTCCTGGTGTTTGCCGTCACCGTGATCCGCATCACCAGGCGGACGGTTCTCCCCACAAGCAAGGCCGACGACGAGGTTGCCATTATCCACTAGGGAGCCACATCTCATAGAAAAACCTATGAATTAGACAACATCATGCTTGTGGCAATAGAGCCTAGTCAACCATAGTTACTGCTGTGTTGATATAATCATGTGCAAATTATTGTTTTAGATCATCAGTGCCCTAGTGCCTGTCACAGTACCCCCAACGTACCACGTCATACACCCACGTCAATACCCCCAACAAACCACTTCATTAAAGACATACATCACAAAAGTGACATTTGATTTATTGAAGTATGTCATACACATATGTTGATCTCACAACAAATACTTCCCTAACATTGCTGAACCCTCCAATTTAAAACAAACACTCTAGGGAGGTAGGGTTTAATCTTGTGGAGAGATGTTTCTGCTAACTTTTATTCTCACACTGACACACGACTCTAGGTGGATGCTCATCATGAAAGTATTATAGTGTGGGGAATATTGGCAGGCATATGGTTGAGGTGACACGATCCTGTCACGATGTAGGTTCTGTTTAGCTCTTTTTATATTAACCATTTAATTAATTAATAGTTAATAATTTGTAGAGCCAGTTTAACATTTGAAGCATGTTTAAACTAGTTTTAGTATGCTAAGCATACTGTGCAAGAACAAATTGAAAGGATAGAAAGTTTGAAAAGGTGTGCCACAAAAATTCTGTACAAGAGGCTATTCCATTAATGGCAAATGAAAGAAAAGACAGCAGTTTAAATGATTATCCAAAGATGATTAGTCACGTAGCCAGAATATGACAGGATTGGGATTTTAAAAACCCTATCATGCAAAACCCAACTTGCTTTCAATGTGTTTTGATGGATTTTGGACTGATGGACCCAGCAAGTTAGATGAGGTTAGATGCTTCAATGCGTTATAAATTCACCTTTGGTTCCTGGAGTGCTGGATGTCAGGGAACTCGGATGGTAATCTACTTTAAAATACCGAAGGAGTTGAGGTTTATCAAATTTTATGTCAGGGCTTTCAATATTTTTAGTTAAAAAATGCAATAGTTTTAATAATACTTTTTACATTATTTATCTGTAAAATTGCTCAAAAACTGCCTTATAGAATACGGAATAGTTTAAATAACAGTTTCATGCCCATGACTATCAAAAAGCCGACAAAATTTGGTGGGAATATTATAGGTCAGGTTTTGTTTATGTTAGGTGGATAAATCACTTACGGGATCATTCTTTGCTGAGTCGTTCTTTGAGGCCATAGTCATAAAGCCTGTGCATGAAAGTAGTTAGTGACCTCCTCCCAATTAAACCCAACTTGGCCTGTTTACCTGGCCGTTTGGATGTCTCCATAGTACGCATTGCGGGTCAATGACGTCATTGTAGAAGTTACTGGCCCTGCTGGGTGACCGTGTCAGCCAATTAGAAACGTCCTTTGTTTGTTCCAGCAATTAAGTTTCTCCAAGTGTTGCCCCTCAGCAACCCGGACACAACTTCATTTTGGAGAAATCGGGTGAGAAATTCCGCATATGCAGGGCTCAAGCACCAGTGATCGCGGAGGATCGCATTTCAAACCTCGGTGCGTGCTTGGTTCATAGACTCGAGAGCAGGGACAGATTTTCATTGGAATGGTCTTGAAGAATCCCCTAACTGCACAATAAATGATGGCAATAAAACAAACTTATGTGTGAATTCTTGTGTTGTGTCTTCAGATGTTGGTATAGATGGTCTTTGCTGTACGGAGGGCAACATTCCGTTTGGGTTTTCGGCATTTGTTATAATCGCTATGCTAAGCCTATGCCCCCGTAAGTTGCTGCCTCTGATGGACACGAGCGTTTCGGGCAGTCCACAAGTTTGAGGTTGCTTTGGAGAACGTACAGTTGTATGCTCAGTATCCACCGCAACAAAAAGAGCTGCAGGTGCTCTTTTGTGAAAAAGAATGTGAAGGACAACATTCAAATTAAACAAAAAAATGTAAATCCTATTTGAAATCAGATGCACATAAAAACTGAGTATTCGGAATTAATCCTCCCAATCAAAAATCACCAGAAGTTTCATAAGCACAGACCGTCCGGTTCCACATTGGCTCTACCTCGTTTCAGAATCCTCACGGAATGCAACACCACCAGTAGCAATAGCTTCTGTTGTCAAAATGAAATGCATTTCTCAGCTCGGACAACTTTATATGTTCTAATTGAAATACACAATGGATGACAAACAAGTGTCAGTGATGTCTCCACTAATGTGGGATCTGCGCAAAGCCAAGGTACTTGTGCGTTCCTCAACAATGAGGCATGATATGCTTCAGTGAGTCTATTGTCCACGGTCGACAGGATTCGGGATGCTCCGATAGCACGAGTCCCCGTCATGTCTTAAATCTCGTCTTTTGTAATCCATAGGGGTACAGCATGTAACCTGTTCGGTTACATCCGTGTATCCTGATTTCCGTCGACCCGTGTCGCCAGTACGGGTGCTCTGGAGGCGCTCCCGTGGATTAGGCCTAGTTGACCGGATCGTAACGTCGTCCTGCCTCCGATCAATCGCGGCAAATTCACTGACGAGGCCTGAGACAACATGGTTGCGACATTTGGAGTCACTGTTGTTTGTGCCCTTTCAGTTTTGCTGCCAACGCCCATATTGAGCCAAGGTAAGATAGCCATTAGACACAGAGATGACTGATCAGTTGGTTATACAGGAAGCGACACTGATTAATTTTCTGATAAAGATTAACCGTACCGCCATGGCTTGTCGATTTCTATTTAGGAGGCCCAAGATCGAGATCGATCGATATAGGGAGCCAAATGGAGCCCGTGCTCCCTGGAAATTCGGCTTTTTAATTTCTCATTAACCAAACGGCAGTGTGGTATAATTAAAAAAATTCTTCACTCAAGTGTTTCGGATAGGGACATCACAAATTTTCCCTTGCAGTAGTTTATTAGCCATCAGTAAGAGGTAACATGTCCCAGAAAGTCAATTTTAGCAGTGAAAATGTTGAAACATTTACTTAGAAAACATAAGTTTTCCAGACCATTCTCAAGGTTTGCGCACGTCCGGGTTTCCTGATGTCCGCATGTGGAACTCGTTCCATCAGGGTTTCCGTTTATGAAGCAGACGGGAGGTGAAGTGTTCATTCAGACAGTTGTGGCCTTGTACTCTGGGTAAATCTTGAGTGGAATCTAAGTGAAGAAGATTGAAAATGGCGTAATCTGTATTTTAGTAGTTTCAGCACCAACTGTAGGATTTAGAGCTTTGCAGGCACTCTTGCCCCTCTCTATAAATCTTGAAAACACTTTCGACAAACAGTTAATTTCATCAAGCAAATACTTTTATTTGGATACCATTTTTTTTAATGATCAGTTCATCCCCAGAAATTCAACAGTTTCCCCGATACGGATTCACAAAAATTTAAACGATCAACTATTTTAAATACATCACCCCGCAACGGCTGAAGCACAACAGGTACATGAATAAGCGTGGACTCTATGCCGATATGCACAAATAAAAATGAACATTTTCAATCTATATTTTCAACTGATGTTATTTCTCATTCTCTTCTTTATATCATAACAAAGTCCCAATTTATTAAATTTCGTTTAAGGAGGTTGCCGCTGTGAAAATGGAGGCACGTGTTTATATGATCCATCTGGAGCGGGAATAAGATGCGCATGTCCGACTGGATACAGGGGTATCCTCTGCGATATACAAGACGGTGAGTTTTAGTTTGCTTCTGCAACTCCCTGGCTACATCTTTATGGTGTGAGACTTTCCTCCAAATTAGGGTTTCATTTGGCCAACGGGTCAAATGATACAGCTGCTCTCTGGAGCAACTAGGCCGGACCTAGCCCCCATGTATGAGGTCAGGGGTAGTGGGGGAGCAAAGTATTGGTGCCGTTGCTTTAGCTAGTTACAGCTTGATGACGATACGTAAATATACAGCTAGCCACGTAAATTCCCTCTTCAATCCATTAAGCAAACACTCTCTTTAAAAGGAAGCATTTTACTCTTGCTAAGCCTGTGTTTGTGAGGATGTAAAGGTAGGGAGTTGCCCTGTGAACTTCCTCGATATCTCGTGGGTTGACTGTAACCGTCGTCTTCCACAATACGACAGAGCGTGCTGATTTTCCATGCAGCCCGTAAGGGCTCACAGCTCGTCCAGCGTTCATTCATATTGAAGGTCGTAATAAGTTGGCATGAAAGGAAAGTTACATAACCTCGTGAAGCGGCTCTTCAAGCTTTCATTATATTAACGACGACTTTCTTGTACCTCCTGGCGAAAGTAGGCCATGTTACTCACTGTAGATATTACCCAGGACAGTGGAGGCTGAACTACGAGAAAATATGGGGGGGGGGCAACCACCATATGGAGCATTATGGTTAGTTCGAGCTTCAGTTGATAGAATTTATCAGGACAATGGCGTGCGAATGTACTCAGTCTACACTTGGGGTGACGAGAACAGAAACTTGCCAAATGACCCTCATAACCGTCGGGGGGTGGGTGAAAATTCTGGGGCTGGACTTTTTTCAACGGCAAGGGAATGGTTCAATATTGACTATCGACTTTGTACTGCGGTAAAATAAGTTCCTAGCACATCGCGACATTTTAAACATTCTATCTTTTCCGACTATTTGCTTTGTAGCCTTTCCGAACCAGCGGCTTTCGTAGTCCATCATCAGCCGCAACTTTCGGACAGGACCGACACTTCTAATTGTGGGTGCAGTGAACTATTTCGAGTGTAAATTTCTGTGAGCTTATTGGCATAAAAAGTGTGGCCCACAGGTTTTGAGGGTAAAAGGAGATTTGTTTGACCGGGAAAAAAATGGAGGGATTGTGGAAATATAGGCCAGGATCATATCCCTTGGTTTGGGGACTTCCATCCGGCCGAGGGCAGAGTTGAAAAAATCATGGAAAATGGTCCACAGTGCCAAGAAATGAAGAGGGAAGCAATTGAACTACATGTACTACACATGCATCGATTTTCAAGGGATGTCGAGTTTGTTTGTGTCAGCTTGCATATTATTTAGTCCTGAACTTTTTTCACTGTTCATTTTTTTTGGGGGGGAGGCTGGAATTAGTTTGTATTAATTCACTTTAATCAGATTCACGGAGCTCAGAGCTGCAGTCTAATAATTCCAGTGGCTGGCCAGCTCATTATTAAAAGTCAGTGCCCCCCCCGCAGTATCTTTTGCAAAAGGAGAATTGTTTGGCCCCCAAAGTGGCGAGATTGTGTAAATCTTTGCCAGGATCAGCTCCTTGGGTCTTTGGGCTTTAATCTGAGAGCATAATAGCTAAAGAAAATACGGTTGAAAAACAGTCCTGAGTGCCCCAGAAAGTTCAGGGTTTCCACTTGAAAAATGGCTGCAAGCCCACTTCGAAAAAAAAAAACACCCTTTTTTGGGGGGGTGTGATTTTGTTTTGTGGGAATTAATTACAAATGTAATTGGTTAACCCACGAAAAATGGAAAGAAATTGAAAGATTAGGTGCCGGACAGTAATTTAATCTAGTTTCAGAAACCTCAAGGATGTATGCATGTTATTGGGCCCTGAACAGTGCTGATTTTGCACTGTTAATACCTGCTCTGTCACAGACGTGTCTGTGAGCTCTGCCCGTAAGTTACTACCCCCTCTATAGGCAGCATGCAGCCAGCTGGTTAACGTGCTAGCTGCGCCAAGTTTGACATCGACGACGGTATAGGTACGGTGCAAGCAAGTTGTTGGTGTGTTGGTTGGTTTAGACCGACGCCTGTGGGCTGTTTTGGGGAGACAAATATGTGGAGCAATTCCGTTTTTTCGTAGATTTGAGTGCAAGTATGACTCCTTCAAATCTGCACTAGTAAGAGATCATTTTCAGTAATTTCAAAGCCCTCCCAGCATCAGGTCTTTACTAGTCTGATTTGATGCGGATACCCGTTTTATCAGAGTCACAGATCCAGATGTTTAATTATAAAATGACAATTAACATGTTTAAAACAAGTAACTAGGAGTAGGCCTACTCTTCGAAGTACTAATCAGCTTTTTCATTTTAACGTTTTTATTAAAACAGGCGACTCTTCATGCGCGTACTCGTACTGTGTCCTAGTTACTAGGCCTACTGTTTAACTTTAAATAATTTCGTTAAGCGTTAGCAAATGACATGAATGGTATGTTGGCTCAATCATGGAGGTAGAATGGCTTAATTAACTTGTTAATACTGCTCCATGGCATTAATGGAGCGCTGAATGTTTCCAGGATGGCTTCCATGCCTTGTAGTTTTACCTACGTGTACATGTACGTGTATTTGCCACTTAGGCCGAATCATGCTAATTGTAATATGCAATTACTGTTGCTGCCAACTTTTGCCTTTTTAGGCCTATATTTCCAGCATCAAATTCTTCCCAGTCAGCTGGTCTTTCACCTGACTGTTGAGTATCATAGATTATAAAATGCACTTGCTCAATCTTTGCATGATCGGTTGATCTTATTCTCGGTCCATTTTTTTTCTGAAAATCTGATATTCACCATCAGCCAGTTACCATTTCTGTCTTATTCATGGTTGTGAAAGATTGCTTCATTAAAGGTAAAGAGAAGTACAGTTGGAAATTTCATGCAGAATCAACCAATCATGCAGAGCATTCAAGTGATTGTACAGATTGCCTGATTGCTCCTAGCCTTTCGTCAAGGCCTTCGAGGTTGTGTTTATGTGTAACAGCAAAGTGGCTGGACCGGAGACCGCATACAAGAGTGGTGCAGCCACCAGGCCTTTTCAGACTTGTCAGGAATTTCTTATGTTTTTCTTCACGTTTTCGATTTTTGCTACCCTGTTGGGGTAACAAAAATTACAACCAATCGTAAGCGAGGGGCAACACACATTAACCTATTATGCAAATTGAAAGTACATGTATATATGTTACGCCCCAACGGCAGAGATGTCCTGTGTGCATGATGTGCCCAGCTTGTGCCAAAGTCAAATTTTTTACAAATGTCATGTCATTGGTCATAGGGCTAGATGAACAGATGAAGTGCCACATTTTAGATGAATTGTGTCAAGTGTGAGACACATTGACTTGGATAATGTTGAGACATTTCCCACAGACATTGGTCAACAATAATTGGGCCAGCCTAACTGCAGCACTACAGTTTGGACTGTCCCAACCATAGTTGGGACTTATGCTGTAGTTGGGGCGTAACATATAAGAAAGATGGCAAGCATGTCAAGGGTGTCGGCGGCTGTGAGTGCAGGATAGTTGTTTGAGCAGTATTTGGGCAGCTCTTTAGAATATGCTACTGGAAAACTTCACCTTGTCGAGTTTAAACCGTTGTAGCGTTAGGCTATTGAAGCATCTATACGCGGGTGTGACGTTTTCGTCTCTACCCACGGGATATGGTAAGATCGAGCTCCATATTTCAAGTAGAGTCGTTTTGCTTCGGCCTTGATGAACTGCTAGTGTTACTCCAAGGTCAGCACCATCCCCCACCAACAAGCATCATGGAGTTGTCATCTCACAGCTTATTGCCCTCATGAAAAACCAGATGGAAACATTGCGTAAGCTTTGGAGTTGATGCCGTTTATTTCGGAGACTCATCTATGTGAAATTTACAAATATTGCATATCAGAAAGCTTATGAATAATTCACCACAAAAACCTCAAAATCAAGTTGGAAAAGGCCTCGTGGCCGGCCACTCACCTGGTCTCCTGTCCAGTCGCTTTGAAGTCACACACAGCCACGAAGGCCTTGACGAAAGGCTAGATTGCACCCAACATTTACAGTACATCGGACCAGCCCTAACGTTAGTTCTTGCTTGGATAAGTGATTTACATTGAATAGAATTCCATGCTTAGTCAAATCATCTACAACATATTGTAATGGTTACATTTGATATGACGTTCCTCGAGGTATGACAATCTTGTAAGTTGTAATATTGTATACCATGATGGGAATAATGTCATATGCAGTGAGAATAGAGAGGGTTAGTACTCCGTAGCCACAATGGAAGCATGCTTAGGGCCTAACTATTTGAAACATTTATAAAATGAACCAAATAAAGGGCAAGCCAAGATGATAGTTACATTCCTCCACAGCAAAATGAAAACTTTCCGATATGTTCATAAATCTATGACTCTATATTGTACTCAATGCAAATTTGTTCAGAGACATTTGCACCAAACTAGCAGGCTTTAGATATTGCTAAAATAGTTTAAAAATGGCCGTAAAATGCCAAGTTTAACTCCCCCCCAAAAAAATGGAAAAGGAAGTAGCTGGATACAGGCAGAAGAAATAACTTTGTTTAAAATTTGGACTAAAAGGGGAGATTAACATTTTTTTAAAAAGAGATGAGATGTGTATTTTTTGTCATATTGTAATGTGTTTGACCTTGGTTTTTCCCAACAGTAAATTGCCGATGTGAAAATGGTGGTGTATGCAGGATCAGTGCTCAGAATGGCTATGAGTGTTCATGTCAGGAGGGCTATGATGGACTCCTGTGTCAATACAGTAAGATCAGATTTGGAGAAATTGGTGCTGTGTGCTACATGTATCTCTGTGCATTCTGCGCCCCCATGGCAAAAGACTAAAAACACCAACCCCTAGGGTGCAAGTAAAATCATATTGAAATCTGACGATTGAGGACTGTTCAGTTTAAACCGCACCCTAGGAGTGGTTAGACCGATCCCAGCCAAAATTGAACAACTGAATGTCCAATTAAAGTCTGAAGTCGGCTAGGCACCTAAAAGCAGTGGGCGAGGCAGTAGTGAATCAGTTTGTACATACACAATTCAAAACCCTGGGTCACAGATGCTCTGCATCGTCAATATCTGAGAAATTCTGTGCTTACAAACCTCCCTTTCTCAACGATGAACAGCAAAACGTACAAATTCGTTGCCATGATCGCATTGTTGATCATTTTATTTCTGTTGATTTGAGGGGCATGCTATTTTTCATCCAAATTGCCCCAACTAGGACTACATTCCTTTATTCCTTTTCAACTAAAGCAGTGCTTCATTTTATGTATGTCTTTCCTTTTGCCCTTTTGGCAGCTTTCTGAATTGAGATACTTTTAATTGATGAAATGTAGTAGCATCTGTAAAAAAAAAACGGAACAGTTGCTGCAAAGAAGCCATTTCACCAAAATGCTAAAGAGTTCATCTTCTATAATTCTGGAGGTTGTTTTGAGGAATGTATACTGTCCTTGAGGAGAAGTAGATTATCAGCCTCTCTGAAAAAGAAATTTGCAGATTTTCCCAGATTTCTATTCTGACTTTAATTTGTAGTTCCACTGGTGGATGACAAGCTACCTCCTGAAATTTTCAACTGCCCATCCGACTTTGAGGCTCGTCGGCAAGCCGGTGAAGATGCGGTGTTTGTCACGTGGGTGGAACCGTATGCGACTGATAACTCGGGACGAGCTCCCTCTGTGGCCAGAAATGTTGCACCAAACTTCTACGCACAGAGCAATTACGACTTCCAGGTTGTGTACACGTACACCGACCAGAGTGGCCTCTCATCGGAGTGCAGATTTACTGTCACAGTCGTATACTGTAAGTGCAAAGTGAACCAACCATTCCTCAGGTGTTTATGTGCTCCATGTCAGTTTATTATAAAGTACACGTTGAGCCTTGTAGAGCCTTATGGTAGGAAAACTGTTATGTTGGTTGCAGACTCCCTCTTTAAAATTTTGGTCTCCAGACTTGCAAAAAAAAAAAATTGAAATATAAATATATGAAATTGAAAAATATGGAAACAGGCAGTGAGCATTCATCTTTTTGTGAAAGGTACTTTTGGAATTTCAAGTAAGGAATTTGTTGTCTAATTTGTCTGAAATTAATCTGAATTATGTCTTGTTGGTTTATAATCCATTTTCTTCAAGACGAAGTTTGTTGTTTGCTGATAGAAACCAAATCAACTTTTGATGCATTACCCTAACAGTGACTTCTGTATTATTATTCACAGGGCTTTTCACAGATTTGACACTTGGCACAACTTTCTCAGCTCCAAAATGAGTCAAAAATAGGACAGGTTCTGTGAAATTCCTGAAACTTTTGTTCACTTTCTTGGTCCCCTTTTAGTTTGTTTGAGGGCCCTTTGAAATCCGAAGCACAAAGAATTTGCCATTGGTTTCCTAGACAGTGAAGAATTTTGAAGGATTCAGAATGTTTTTAAATGATATACCGAAGTCAAGCGTCATTGAATGACTCTTTTCAAGAATTTGGTGACAGTTTACCATAGCGTCTTAAAATGAGGCAGGTTGCTCATCCCAGAATGCACATATGCTTACCAATGTTCCTGCATTCTTTTTCCAACTAGCCGATGTCATTGAGCCCCGACCCATCTTCAGCGGCTGCCCCGCAGACATCAACGTGACAGCGACGGACAGCCTCCGGGCTGTTGTCAACTGGTTGGAGCCCATGCCGGCCGCTGTGAGCCAGGAGGTAATCAGGGTGGATCGAAGCCACGCCCCAGGCTCTATCTTCTTCCTGGGCTCCACCCTGGTGACCTACATCTTCACCGGGGAGGCCAGCCAGGTTCAGTCCATGTGCACCTTCACCGTCAACGTTATAACAGGTGAGGCTATCTCAACTGATGTGGGGAGGCAGTCTTGATGCAGCAGCTACATGCAGCCATGTTGCTTGAAGCACACAGCAAGAGCAAAGAAGATTGTCAGCTCAAAGGATTGTTTTTCTCCTTTTAGGCAGGAAGATAACAAATATGTTAGATAGACTTCAAATGTGTTTACTTTTGTTTACCTGACGTGTCAATATTTTTAACAGGCATGACACTTGTCATCCGGTTTCAGAAATAATGAGACTTAATACTTTGAGTCTTGGACAGATCTTGGACATCTCAAATCTTGTATATCTGTTGTCACTTAGGGTTTGCATTTAGGCTCCATTTGTGAACAAGGTAGGGCTTGGTAACCTAGCAACAATGTGTCTTGATGCGCTATATCCTTGCACTTGTTGGCAGATGGCACAATGTAGCTGCTGGGCATTTTCCGTCGAAAATGCTCAGACCCGTCAGAGTTGGGTTTTTTTTTTCGCTTGGAGAATGGGTGCTGAGTGAACGGTGACAGCGATTTTCAAGTATTAACCCAACCTGCTTGTGTGTTTAGTCCACACGGGAAGCTACATGCTACATGCACTGAGCTCGTTGCAGCTGACCTTGGGCACAGTCTTTCCATGCTTTATCAAATGAATGTCATCCTGGCTCATTTAAGTAATGAATCTAAATTCACAAACAAACTCATCCGTTTCATCTGCAGATGCCTGTCAGTGTGAGAACGGGGGCACTTGTGTACCAGACAACACAATGACTGGTGTCCGCTGCATGTGTCGAGCAGGGTACTCTGGGATTCTCTGTCAACGCCGTGAGTCCGCATGCCTCATTTCTTTCTCTCTTTCTCCGTTCCTAACCGTAAGCCGCCAAGGCCCCATCGTGTATTTAACGTAGCTACTTGACAGGTAGCAGAAAAAAGCCATGCTTACAGTGGCAGAAAACTTTGCTAACCCTAAGCTCTATTTCATGGGGGTGCTTGACATGGTTATGCTCATGGTTGCATTCATGTAGAGATTTCCAGTGTGTTGTCACTATGTTAAACCAATTTTGTTCTTTTCTGCTGTGCTTACTGTTAACAGTCCCCATGAAATAGACACAGCCTGTGTTGGTGTAAATTCATGTGCTTAGCAGCTCCTTGAAGTTGGGCCCAGGTCATTCAAAATTCACCTGGAATTTTTGTGAATTTGCAGAATGGAGAAGGATAGAGCCAAGCCAGTGTTACATTTCTCAGCATTGTGGGTCCCTTAAGGGTCTATGCAGTTTTAAATGCAAACCTCCAAAATCCACTTCTGTGTCTCTGTAAATCTCATTTTCAATTTTTTTTTCTCCTTTTTTAAAGGATAGTTTGCTGCCATTTTGGTTTTGTGCTAATTATTAATTTGATTTTGATGAGCAAAACTGTGATTTCATCTCAGCAGGAAAACCTCTATGTCACACTGGTTTGTGGACACCAGAATGCTTATATTTTTTGTGATTTTACTGTCCTGAATTTTCTTGTCTTCTGTGATTTATTGTTGAGTGAGCGCATCACAGGTGCAGAGCAGGTGCACACCATGGCAAACGAATGAACCCCTTTCTCAGAGGTGTTTTCATTGAACTTTCAGTACACAGCAAACAACACATTAAACGTGTGCTTAGCTTTGCCCGCTTACAGCCTTTGAGTCCTTGACTTGTGCAATAAGCTAAAATCAAACATGAATTTGCACAATATTTAACAGATTCCATCGATATTGGCCTCTCCACCCTGGTAAGATATAAAGTATATCCTCAAATGCTTCTGCGAAAAAGACAAGCCCATTGCAAGAGGGGAGTATAAACCATGAGAAGACTGGGATCACGTCACTTGTTGTACAATAACATGTTTTTTTTGCCTAGGTACCTGTCTCTGTCAGAACAGTGGTATCTGCCAGTACGAGCCCTCCAGCAATGCTGTCAGCTGTCTCTGCCCCAGAGGGTACAGGGGTGTTCTTTGTGAGCAGACAGACGGTGAGTGTACATGGGGACGTCAAGTTTTGACACACTCTGGAGTTGTTACATGCCTAGTCAAGAGAGTAGATCATGGCTTTAAACCCAGGGGCACACGAACCGTCCGCTTACACCTGAAAATACACTCAGCTCCTGTTAATGGCTTGGCAAAATAATGTTTTAACCAGTTCATCCTGAAGGACTCGTTAGCTCAATCTGGCAGTCTCTGCATGCACAGGAATGATAAGCAGGTTGTTTAGTCGTTGCTTAGCAGACAATCTTGTATTTGTTTTGTTCATACATGTACATGAAGTCTGTGGAGGTGGACGGTGTGTATATCTTGGCCGCAGTGTACAGCCTGTCGTGGGAGCAATTGTTCTTCCCTTGTAGCAAAACGTGAGATGGGATTGGAAAAAAAAATCACAGAGATATTGTTCATGTGATATAAAGGAGTCAGTATTTGTGGCATTTGGCTGTATGCCAAAAGTGGTACCATCTGCAAGTGGTGAACTGGAATTCTGTTGTTAAAAGACTTGAAAACAAAGAAAAGTTTTAAAATTCAAGAAATATAGGACTTTGGAATTCGCTCTGCAAAGCAGGATTTGGTCTTCAGAGTGATCATATTACTGAGAGCTGGCTGTACATGGTACATTTAGGCAACAAACTCCCCCAACACCATCCATCAGTTATCTATACACAAATATTAAGTTTTCCCTTGTTTGCACAGATCGTTGCGATTGTGAGAATGGGGGGACCTGCGTCCATGACACCGTTATACCTGGCGGCACAATGTGTATATGCCCTTCAGGCTTCAGTGGGATTCTCTGCAATGCATGTAAGTTTGCAATCTTTTCTTTGTCTGATCCGTTTAATAGAAATGTTTTCTGGAAGAGCTCAAGACATTTAGTGTGAGCCAATGTTCTACATCGTATATTTGATTTGACAAAGCACAGAAATCAGTAAGAGCTAATGAGAGAGGATCTGGGTTGGTGTTATAAATTGGGAAAGGTTTATAAAATGGGAATTCTTAAATTTTGAACCATAAATAAGATTTAAAGCTATGCTCAGCGTGTACTGGCAAAATGCTAGAGTTGGCAACCCATTGTGACAAATAATGCAATAACACAAGCTCAGTATGAGTTAGCACGATTATTTATCCATTCCTGAAAAATGTTGCTATAGATGCGCGTGACGTGTTGGATTTTGCATAAACTGGCAAAAAATTTGATAGTTGATGGACGAGCCTCTTTGCAGCTTAGCACGTCACACCGAGCTGTGACCAGATGGATTGGCCTGTTTAGTTTACAGTATGACTCACAAAGTACCTGTCTTCAGTAAAGCAAGCACTGAAGGAAACAGTTTATCTACACCTGATATCTTTCATGTTACCAAGGTTTTTCAAGGTTGAAAAGTAGTGTGGAAACAAACTAAAAAATTCAGAGAACCAAGGCACATTCCAAAGTTCTTTTGCCAGAGAAAGTTCCAATCAGAACATTGCTTGTTCTAGTTGAGATTATTTCCTTTTCCTGCTGAGAACGTGTGCGTGTTCCTGAGGCAAAAACATGGGTCTACCAAACCGGTACATATTTGTATGTGTCTGTGTTATGTGTGTGTTCCTAATAGCAAATTTCCACAGCGAGCACACAGTGTACCATAAGGAAGCATTTCAGTGAGAACAAGGAATGTTGTGAGTTTTAAGATGTTCCATACAAGTCTGGCTGATTTTTCTTAAATGTTCAGGCAGTTTGGTGTGCCTTATGAACACAAGAACTTGAACAGGAACTTGTTTCATTCCTTTGCTGCTTTTCTTCATTTCAACACTTAAAGCAACCACTGTCGATACCTCACCTCCAACCATCACCTTCTGCCCAGCCAGCTTCACTATCATTATCAACCCCACCTCCAGTGATGCCGTCGCGGCCACATGGCCCCAACCCCAGGCAGAGGATGACTCTGGCACGCCGCCCTCTGTTGACCAAAATGTGCCAGTGGGTACTGTAGTGAATGTGGGTGACATTTTCGATGTTGTGTACAAGTTCACCGATGCAGCTGGCAACGCTGCATTCTGCAATTTCACTATCACTGTTTTGGGTGAGTGAAAGGTTATGATACTCTCTAAGAGAGACTTTATTGTCTGCGAAGCCCTCTATTTCTCTAATAAATGCATTAGGAGAGTGGACATTTGTATGTAAAGTATATATAGGGCTCAGCTAAAGAATGATAAAAGAATTGCATCTAAGTAGTCAACAAACTTGACCAATCATCAATTAAGCAAGCAGGATACCCCAGTTTCAACCAAGGTTTCCTTATTCTAAACCGTATCTTAGGCTGCATCTGAATCTCTTGTCTAGAGCTAGGTCTCGGTCTTCACTCCATTGGAAATGTGTGGAGACGCGCAGAAAACAGACCCAGCCGTAGCTCTGGAAGCCCGTTTTGGACACGGCCTCAAGCTGCAGCATAGTGTTGGAGTCTGCATTGACTTCAAGTAATTGACAGTTAAAATTGTGATCGACATTGTGAAGAGTTGAAAAACAGTACTTGTCTTTCTGTGAATAGTGCAGAGTTAGAACTGTGTGTTATTTTTACGATTCCCACATGAAGAATCTCCAAACAACTGGAGGCTGTGTAAAGATTGCTCTATCTTGTCAATGTCCTGTATTGCTCACAGATGTAGGAAGCTGCATCACTTTGATTGATAACACTGTCTCTGACCCCTTCAAATGATTACAGCACCAGTCGATACCTCACCTCCAACCATCACCTTCTGCCCGGCCAGCTTCACCATCAACCCCACCTCCAGTGATCCCGTTGCGGCTACATGGCCCCAACCCCAGGCAGAGGACGACTCTGGCACGCCGCCCTCTGTTGACCAGAATGTACCAGTGGGTACTCTGGTGAATGTGGGCAACGTGCTCAATGTCATGTACAAGTTCACCGATGCTGCTGGCAATGTTGCATCCTGTAATTTCACAATCACTGTTTTAGGTGAGTAAAAAAAGAACCTTTATATACTTTTTAAAAGGTGGAATGTTTTTCTCTGTGACCTTTTGTATCGGTTAAAAATTGTGAGATTTGTTGGTCACCTTTGTTTGAAACATTTTTTTGATGTTCCTAAGAATGGTAATAAGCTTAATCTACACAAATTACCAGTTGGAGTCATGCACACTTAGCATACAACCTCAGCTATGTGTAGGTAAGAAGGCATTTAATTATGCTTGTGTTCTCTTGATGCTTTTGACATTGTAACCAAAGCAAGAGATTTAATGCTGACTCAAAGCAATTTCACCTAATGAAGCATACTTTCTGAGACTGAGTAGATCTCGATTGGCCTTCTGGTTATTTTATGAAGACTGAAAGAGTTGCGATCTGGTGTCTTTGTTGTCGCTGTTGTTGCTGGCGAAGACCAAATCTTGTTTTCGTTACACGTAGTGTGTCAGAATCGTCGCTGTCTAGCAAATGGATTTCCTAATGAAATTAATGCCCCAGTTCCCTTCGTGGCTGGTAAAAACTCAGGCCACATTCATTGAATGCTCTCTGCTACTGTCTGCATTGTACTGTTCTCGCCAGTAACACTGAATAAGTTATCATGATACACCTTGTAGATAACTGGTCTTATGTTGCTCCGATGAATCAGGTTCGCTTGGGGAGTCCCATGTGACAGATTGCAATAAAGCTTAAGTGTGTTTTAGCCCTTTGACACTCTACAGTTTTAAGGGTTTTTTGATAAAAGGTGTGAAATATTGAGGCAGGTCATAACAGTTTATTTCTTCACTTGACTCTGTTTTCTTCAACCCATTACAGCACCAGTCGATACCTCACCTCCAACCATCACCTTCTGCCCAGCCAGCTTCACTATCAACCCCACCTCCAGTGATCCCGTCGCGGCTACATGGCCCCAACCCCAGGCAGAGGATGACTCTGGTACACCGCCCTCTGTTGACCAGAATGTACCAGTGGGTACTCTGGTGAATGTGGGCGACATTCTTGAAGTTGTGTACAAGTTCACCGATGCTGCTGGCAACATTGCCTTCTGCAATTTTACTGTCACCGTCTTAGGTGAGTCACAGTAGGTTCTCGAACATACAAAAAAGTGTTACTTATTTCTCCCATAATCCTATATTTGCTTGATATGTTTGCAGTCGTTCATATTCATAAAGACAGCCTTAACCAGTCAATCTTGTCTGTAATGCTTGATCACATTTCTTCATATCTACGTATTTAAATGTGTTTGTCTTTTGAAGTTATCCAGTGTTAGGAGGGCATCCTTTCAGTTATAATAACTTCTTTTAAGTCATCAACTCAAAGCCTACTTTGGTTGGAAATTTGATGATAAATGTGTAATCAGCATAGTGATTAATGCTGCAACAAACGGCTACGTGTACATGTTTCTTTCCCTTGTCTGTGACTAATACAAGTTTAGATGATCTAAGGTACTGTAAAATTAAGATTCCCAAAATCCCAGTACGGGTGTTTCACAATAGTGTGCCTCCAAGAGTTTGCAACGCGTTGGCCAATCAGGGTGCCCAAAAGTTGTCGACCCAATGCGCATTTGGAGAGGGTCGACAAATTTCGCGCATTGTGATTGGCCAATGCGTTGCACACTCTTGGAGGCGCACTGTTGTGAATCGCCCGTATTCATAAGGAATTGAATGATTTCTCTTTTTGGTCATTTCAGTTGCAGAAATCTTCGATAACTTGTCACTGCAACGATACATTGCCTCGCTGCAGTTATGGAAAAGAAGTTGGTTTTACTGTAGATTGTTTTCTAGTAATATTTTGGGGGTGCTTGGAAGTTATCATAAAAGAGAGCAAACACAGCAGGTTTGTTTGATTACTATCAATTGTTCTGGCTTTGCTTCTTTCACCGTCAACCATTACAGCACCAGTCGATACCTCACCTCCAACCATCACCTTCTGCCCAGCCAGCTTCACTATCAACCCCACCTCCAGGGATCCTGTCGCGGCTACATGGCTCCAACCCCAGGCAGAGGATGATGCTGGCACACCGCCCTCTGTTGACCAGAATGTGCCAGTGGGTACTCTGGTGAATGTGGGTGACATTCTCGATGTTGTGTACAAGTTCACCGATGCTGCTGGCAACATTGCCTTCTGCAATTTTACTGTAACTGTTTTGGGTGAGTAAAAGGTTATGTACTCATGAAGAGAGACTTTTCTTCTCTCTGTAGCCCTCTGTTTTTGTACAAAAGCATTGCAAGATTTGATTTTCAGCTGGGTGGTAAGTATAAAACAATCACAATGATCCAGTCTTGACCAATCAACAACCAAAAAGCAAGACTCCACTGTTTCAATTAAGGTAACCTTCTAAATCACGGCGATATCTCAAGCTGTTGTGTAATGTTTGAGTCTGTGTTGTCTTCGAGGAATTGACAATTGAAACTGTGAGTGACATTGTGAAGAGGTGAAGAATATGTATGTCGTTTGTGAATAATGCAAAGTTAGATGTGTTAGTTTCTGTGTTACCTTTACCGTTGCCGTTTGAAGAATTGCCAGCAACTAGTGGGTGTGTAAAGACAGCTTTGCGCTCCTCCTGAAGTGATCAAGAATTTTATTTCATTGCTGGGGAACAAATCTTTCACAATTTTTTTTCAGGAAACTGGGCAAAATATAGGAAGTCGTATCACTTTATTTATTCATTTCATCTTGGTCTCTGTCACCGTCAACCATTACAGCGCCAGTCGATACCTCACCTCCAACCATCACCTTCTGCCCGGCCAGCTTCACCATCAACCCCACCTCCAGTGATCCCGTCGCGGCTATATGGCCCCAACCCCAGGCAGAGGATGACTCTGGCACACCGCCCTCTGTTGACCAGAATGTGCCAGTGGGTACTCTGGTGAATGTGGGCGACATTCTTGATGTTGTGTACAAGTTCACCGATGCTGCTGGCAACGTTGCCTTCTGTAATTTTACAGTCACCGCTGTGGGTGAGTAAAAGACAAGAAATTTCCCTGTGTTAGTTAACCCCTTCACGGTGGGATTATTTTGACCGCGACTGCTGGGTTGTGGTATGCCCTGAATGGAGGGCTTTGTCCAGCAGCAGGCCCCATTAAACCAGCAGGTGCGTGGTGAATAGACTGTATGCGTGGTATGCACTAATCCTCACACAACGGTGCGGTAGTAGCAGTCCTCCATAGCGAAGGGGTTAAACATCTTGTAACCCTTCGCTAGGTTTGTATGCAAACAGTTCGGTTTCACACTTCAGGATTTTTTCCACAAGTTGGTACGTGTGACATTTTATGTACGCGTATACATTTTCAAAACCTTTTTGCTTTGTGCTTGTTGATTTTCTTTGAGTTGTCCTGTACACACGCAAGCCAACATGAGTGTGGAGTGGAAGTTGTACTTTTGGTGGGTTTAAGGGAGGCCACTTTAGGGGAAGGGGTCAAGTGCTGCTAAGTCTCATAAGGCAAGTCACTCGCACAAAATTGTCCCATGTCAAGTAACAAGCTGTGTTAATGAAGTGTGACAGGGGCATTTCTAGACCTTTGATCCGACTTACTCTGATATTGATGGGCCCATGATTGACTCAACTACTTAGCCCTCTTCCCCTTGAAAAAATACCTTTTAAAAATTCGAAGTCTTAGAGTGAATTTATGTTTCCCTTATTTTTGTAGATAACATTCCCCCCACCATCATTTTCTGTCCTCCCGACATTGAGAACATGGCGCCTACTCCCGAGGCCATGATCTTTGTCACTTGGGCCATGCCCCAAGTGTCCGACAACTCGGGCGGGTCAATCAGAGTTGTTGCAAGTGCACTGCCAGGCCTCTTTGTGATGGCAGGCACCATGCAGGCGGTGTCATATGTTTTCACTGACGAGTCCGGGAACCAAGCCACGTGTACCTTCAATATCATCATCACCGGTAAGAAATGGAGTGGGTCGTGCGTCGGGGATTTTAGTCCATGTTGTGCATTTTGGTGTTGGTAAACGAAATATTTAGCAAGATTATACTCGCTGTTGGTTTTCTTCATCCTGACTGAATAACTTCTTAATTCCCAGTTCTGGATCCACCCAAGGGCATCAGCGTTGTTAATGTCACCACCACGGCTGCCACATTAGCCCTCGACCCTCCCAGCGTCAACTTTGACAGCTATATTGTGAAGGTAGAGGAGCAAGAACTGACGGTGCCGGCGGCGGAAAGCTCCGTGACGTTGTCTGACCTCATGCCGGGTACCAGTTACAAGGTGTCAGTTGTCAGTGCCATCATATATGCCCCGGATGACGTGGTCACCAGCAGAGCGATCAGTTTAGAATTCACAACAGGTAAATCCAGATATTAATGAGAAAACCTGCTTTCGTCTCGGCGAATTTTGCTTCACACAATAACAAAGTAAACTCACAATGAGCCCCAGCATGCTAGAACCTTTAAGCCCATTCATCCCCCGGGGAACTTTGACAGTATTACCGTTGCGTTATGTGGAGGACAGCTTGCTTCCAAACAACAGTAATTTAGACCACTTCATCGCTGATCTATCTGTCCTGAATTGAAGTACACCCCCAAGCGGCAAAAGAAAGACAGATGGTTGTAAGTTTTCCAAGTGGGTTCTTCCACGCGTTCTGCATGCACACAAAGACTGTACATAAACCCTAACCTTCCCTAACCATACAGAATTCAACACCAGTAAAGTGTGTGAGTTTGTGGCGTTGGGTACTAGTAGCTTACTATCTGGTGTTTAATTTTGTGTGAATGGGCACTGTGGGCCTGCACATTCCCCTATTGAATTTTGACTGAACGGGTACTGTGGCCCTCTCACTTTTTACCATCAAGAATTTCAAATGCGTACTGTATTTTTAAAGATTATGTAATGATAGAAAGCTTCCCATTGAAATGGTAAGTATGTAATATTATGTAATAATTACCATAAGAAGGACAGTTTTTCTTGTTTCTGACCACATTGATCCCAGCAGTTGGGGATGGATATGCAGCATGATGGTGTGTGAGTTTGTTTGAATAGGTACTGCCTGTCCATACTCTTTGTACTGTGCAATGGGCCTGCTGTACCCAATCAAACAGAATCACACAGGCAAAGACCTGTTGAAGTTTGTGGGATTGGGTAAGAGTGATTTTCCCAGATGTTGAAGTTTGTGTGATTGGTGAAGGTTAGGTCCAGCAACCCTTGGGCTGTTCATTACGCATACTCGGCGTGCTCCGCTCGCCTATGCGGTGAGTGCTACAAACACGCCCTTTTTTGTTCCGCTCAGAGCGGATAGTATGTTTATGCTGTAGCGTTATTTGTGCTTTATTTGTTTGATTTTTGTATGCCTGCACTCTGGTACCTGTACACTGGTAGTTTTCTGTACGCCCAAGTCTTTTTCCCTCCACTGTTGTTTCTATTATTGGGACTTACCTGCAATTTTGTGGCTTTATACACTGTACATGCAGTTCCTCTTGATGTCACAGCCCCTGTGATATCTGGCTGTCCATCCGACATCACCCTGCCCGCCGGTCAGAATGTAGCCAATTGGACAGAGCCTACGGCTGTAGATGACTCGGGCTTAGACCTGGCGGTCAGCAAATCCCACGAACCTGGAGCTGTATTTGCAGATGAATCGACCAACGTCACCTATACCTTCACTGATGCGACGGGCAACGTGGCCAAGTGCGTCTTCAGTGTCAAACGAATATTAGGTCAGCTGTTTCCCCCTTGTTACACATTAAAGGGAAAATAAAAATAAAATGGAACATCACATCTTTCCAAGAGGTTGATCGCTGGATGATATTCTCATGGAAAGTGATTTAAAGTTTAGAGCAATTCCACACGTAACACTTTTTCATATATGCATTTGTTTGTTTGTTGTCATTTGTTTGTTTGATGTCATTTGGTTGTTTGTTGTCATTTGTTTGTTTTTTGTCATATATACATTTTCATTTTTCTGGTTTGCATAAATATAAAGAAAACAGTTGCCAGCTTTCTTTGAGCTAACTTTGGTTAAATTAACTTTGGTTGAGTCACATTTGGCGAATCAAGCATGTCATGAGATAATACTTGGGTTTCCAATGACTAACTAGCATTACAGCACCAAGCCAAGAAGATGGTTCACTCAAAAGCCTAGCTATTTCATCATTTGTGTGGTGTCCTACTCCCGTGATGCTAAGACAAGTAGAGCAAGCAAGCCTCGGCATGCATGATAAAAGCTCTTGAAGCATCTTGAAAAAAGGAAGTATTTCAGTGTAGACACAATGGTTTTTTGTATAATTTAATATAAATTCTCTCACAAGGAACCTTCCTGAATCCTGCAAAAAACTCCACAGTACAAAAAAGCCTATGGTGCCTTCGTTGGACTTAACTTTCGGGGGAACCAAGTCATATGTTAAGTACTCATGACTTTGTTCTAATTCCTCAATTTTACAAAATCTTCCAAACTCCATGATGGATTTTACAGGATCTGGGATACTGGAGCCAAGGTATATGTATACCTACGTAGCATAATGATGGAGATATCTTCTGACAGTCAGTAATCTATTTGAAACTTGTCCCATCTCTTTCTTTTCAGTTGCGTTTTTTTTTCCTGAATGGCTTATTATAATGAGTATCTTTTTGTTTACAGTTTTGGAGCCGCCAACGTCCGTCAGCCTGATCAATGTCACAACCACCTCTGTCTTGTTGGCTGTGCTCCCTCCAAACGCCACCTTTGACAACTATGTGGTCAATGTACAGGGTCCGGTGTTAACGGTTGACGTTTCAATTCCTGCAATGGAAAGCATTCTTAACATACCCGGCCTCATGACCGGCACTAACTACACAGTGTCTGTTTCTACTGCTGTGGCTCTTGGCACAGAGAACGAGGTTGTCAGTGAACCAGTCAGCCTAAATTTCACAACAGGTACCAGCTTTGCTTTACTGATAATGAAAAGGTTTTCATATTTATCATAATGTGTTTTGTAATTGACAGTGATTTATGTCCCCAATATTCATATGGGAGGTGGGAAACATGAAAAAAGTTCAATTGAAAGAGTGCCGTTCCCAAAACTTGTCAATAAACCTTACTTTGAGCAAATAGGAAATCATCAGTGTAAACGTTGAGTTCCTCACGGTTCTTTTCAGAACCATACAGCCTCACAAAAGAGATCGTATCCTGGCATGGTGCTACCGCAAGCTTTCCACCTCAATGTAAATTTTCTTCACCTATTACTCAAGGTTTTCTGGTGAACATTATCCTTCCCGGCTGTTTCTTTTCCAATGAATGCCTTATTTATGTTAGCAGAAAAGTTTGTGCTAATTATATTTAATTGTGCCAGCTTTCAGTTTTCACCTGGTGGTGAATTGAGGACTTACCCCAATACTTTCAAATGATAATCACATTTTAATAAAATGGCTTTTTTCTTGTTACAGTTCCCCTTGATCTAATGGCCCCTGTGATATCTGGCTGTCCGTCCGACATCACCCTGCCTGCCGGCCAGAACGTGGCCAACTGGACAGAGCCTACGGCTGTAGATGACTCAGGCTTAGTTCCAGTGGTCAGCAAATCCCACGAACCTGGAGCTGTCTTTGCAGATGAATTGACTAATGTCACCTACACATTTACCGATGCAGCCGACAACACAGCTGAGTGTGTCTTCATCGTCAAGCGAATATTGGGTGAGATTTATCAAATTGTTGGGAGTTCTGCTTGTCAAACTTGACATTGTCCAAAATATTTCAGAAAACAGCAAACAGAGACTCAGATGCCACAGTGATTTCAGAAAATTTAAACCCATTTAACTTTTGTCTCATAATCGCAGTTCTGGAACCACCAGCATCCATCAGCCTCTTCAACGTCACAGCCACTTTCGCCACGTTCACCTTGATGCCTCCCAATGTCACCTTTGACACCTACGTGGTGACCGTGCGAGGCAGAGACCAAATAGTAGGCATCACCGTTCCTGCGACAGAAGGGGTGCTACCACTGCCCGACCTCATGCCAGACACCAATTACACAATGACCGTCTCCACGGCTGTGGCTTATGGCACAGACAACGAGGTCATCAGTGAACCAATCGTTGTTGAGTTTTCAACAGGTAAATCTGTCGGCTACGGCCAGTGTATAACCAGGATTTTTTTTTGTTCTAGTCGAATTCTCAGAGTTCCAATTACCTGTCCGAGGTTTGCTCAGCAAAGACAACGATTTTAGAATGCACAGCGTTAGCACCACAGAATGCTACTTCCAAGAGTTTGGCCGTGCTGCCTTCGCAGTAATGGAAGAATTGTCGAGGTCACTGACCGGAGGGTTAACAAGGGCCCATTGCTGATGATCCTTCCAATGTATAGACTCAGTGTCTAATTTAAGCTTGTGTGAAATTTTCATTTTGCCATTTTTAAGGGCAGTGTTGTGCCTTTTTCTTGTCAATTTATATTGTTTTTACGAATTCAAAGGCAGACGTGTTGTCATTTTAGGAAGAAACGTCCTTGTCACTGGTAAATTTAAATTGTGCTGCAATGACAGATGTTTGGCTGTCTTAAGTTATTTTTTATTCTTTGGTGCTTTGTTGCCTCACAAAGATTAGGAGCTTATTTCTAGCCATTTGTACCATGCATGTTAACCATGGAAAATTTATGGCATGGGTCCTTCAGTGACCAGTAACGCAGACAAACACGTGCTGCACAGTGCGTGACTTTTTTGGGCTGGAATCGTCACAAGACGCACCTGCTTTCATTTTTTTTTAATCTACCACAAAGTCTCCTGCATGTTTTTCGTCAGATCCCGTCCCAGTGATCACCAACTGCCCATCTGACGTCATGCTCAATGTCACCCACCCGAGTGGTGTGGCCGTGGGCGTCTGGGTAGAGCCCACCGCAGTCAGCGGCAGGGAGGTGGTGCCGTTTTCTGAGCGGACCCGTCGGCCTGGGTCCAGCTTTGGGGAAGGGACGACCGTGGTGACCTACGTGTTCCGGGACTCCAAGGGTTACGAGGCCACGTGTTCGTTCACCGTGAATGTCGCTGTCATCATGAGAGGTAAGTCTTGTCAGTCCTATTCTGGAGACGTATTTACATTTTCATCTCTCACTCTTTCATTTTCTTGTACGTCCAAGGGAGTGCTGAATTTACCAGGGATGTAATTTCCGGGAAATTTTCTTGGATGTTTGTCTCCCAGATCACGGACTTTAAAAATAGTTGAATGGTTTTGGTTTCTTCTTTGTATTGTTTGGGAGATTCACCTGATTATAAACGGTCATTTTTGAGACAAGGTATGCCATATTAGCTTCTAAATTGCCTTCAGTGTCACAGTAATTTGTTGTCATTGATTAACCCCTCTATCGAATATTTGGTGGATTTTTTTCTCCTTTTTTTCCATCCACGCTATGTTTATAGTGTTCATCAAACTGTGAGCTGATGACCTGTTACAAGAACAAGAGAATAATTCACAATGCCAAAAAGTCCCAGACTCACTACAAAGAGATACAAAAGAGACACAACCACTATGAAGGATGAAGAAAGATCCCCGCTCTTTCATACTATTGGAACCTTGGGAGATGGAAACTGATTCCGGCCAAGGGTTAATTTTCTGCAAACTTTACAAGCCCGGACAAAATAGTGGGCATTTTTTGTAAATATCAAATCTTTATGTTTGATGTTAATCTTTCCAGTTAATCAAGTGTAACTGCACCTTTGGACTCATTGCATGTGAAATCTTTCTATGAATAGGGTGTAAAAGGAAATTTAGAGGCAGAAACAGAAGAGCAGTTGTGTTTGAAAAAGTGGACAAGATTGTAACATTTCTGATTTCATGTGTATCTGAGCTTTTGCATACCTATCATGCAGTGATCCAAAAGTGTTTCATTTCCACCTGTAGTCATTCCAGATCCACCCATTTCAGTCGATGTTGCCAACGTCACAACATCATCTGCTGTTGTGACCTGGATTGGGCCAAATTCGACCTTTGACTCTGTTGTGGTGACCGTCTCCAGCGCCAAGACCACAAACGTGACCTCCCTCACTGCACCTCAGAACTCGCTGGTCCTGACGGCACTGATACCCGACACCAACTACACAGTCGAAGTATCCACTGTGATTGGCACTGATATAAACTTGCAGGAAGTCAGTGAACCAGTCGTAGCGTTTTTCAGAACAGGTATTTGATGATGAAAGAAAACCTGGCATTGAACTTTCAGCACAAAAACCAACAGTTTTTCGGGCTTGTGACTCTCCACTGGATTAGCCGATTACTCATTTTTTGCTTCCCTGTTTGAAGTACAATAGAAAACAAAGTAACAAATGTTGTGCAAATTTATTCTTGCCAAGTTTTCCTCTAAATCCCCAGTAGAATGCCTGATAAATGTTTCTGAGGAGTTTCTTACTTGCAACAGTTTCCTTAGTCTTAAATACAAGAACCACAACGCACAAATACATCTTGAAGATAGTCAAGTCAGAGTCAGAGTCAAGTGAAGCAGCTGTACCCGCTGCTTCACTTGACTCTGACCGG